ATGAGCCATTTCTCCACCATTGTCCTCTCCCAGCTACCTGCTGCTATTTAAAGGAGATACAAATTTAGCTCCCAGTGTTCCCTTTCCCACAGACTCTGAAAGTTAAAACTTGTGACAGTTCAGTTCTTGCTGTGCTCCTGCCTTGCCTTCAGCTCCATACAAACGTCTTGCCTGTCTCTGAGCTTCACTTCTGGTGGCTCAGAAGGTAAAATAATTTCAATTTCCTCATTTCCATGGGCAACCTTCCTGCCTTTGAGCTGCCCTTCCTGACTTCTGGTTCCCAGGGCAGTGCAGGAGGCTCGGGGATGGCTGGACAGACACACGGACAGCTGGGGCACCTCAGAGCCCTGGAGCTGAGCCTGCCAAGGCAGGAGTGCCCTTGCCACGGAGCACCAGGGCTGCTGGAAGGAGAGCAGCAGCTGGGGGCTGTGAGCCCCGAGCTCGGCGTGGGGCTGGCATTTTGGGAATTTGGGATTTGGGGCAGTCGTGCTTGGAAGCAGTTCAGGGCATTACCTGGCATGTGTCTGTAACCTGAAAAATAGATGAGCAGAGGAGCAAATAGAAGTGTAACAATAATGGATTAAGAGAAATATCTCACTTGCTGCACGTGGGGTTTGGGACCCGAACTTTGGGGTTGTCTGATTGCTGAAGTCACAAAGCTTTGGGTATAAACTCACTCCACGCTGCTCCTGGGGCTAAGCTGACCTTTGTTTCCTGGTAGGGACGGTTCCACCCTGCTGGGTTTTGGCCCCTCTCTTGTGCCCACAGCCCCTCTGTCAGTGCCCTGAGGGATCTCCACGCCCTGACAGAGCTTCTGTTAGCACCAAACTCTGCACCCCACAGCGAATCCCATCTCCAGCCTCAGGTGACCAAACCCCACAAAAATGCAATTTCTAGCGTGTGAAATAATGTTGACCAAGGAGTTAAAGTGCACAAACAAAGTCTGCACCTTTCCCTCAGATAAATGGTTTTTTCAGGTCAATCTGGCATGAACAGCTCCAAATGTGCAATAACTCACAGACCCAGAGCTTTTTCATCTTGCACAGGAACGACCTGGGCTTTTCTTTCTTCCAAATAAGGAATTAATAATGCAATAGTTGTTGTTTCCAAGGAGCTCAGCTTTTTTGAGAAGTGCCTTTTCCCCCTCCTCTAGACCCAGTGAAACACATGAACATTTGGAGCCTTTAATAACTGGCGGAGCCTGGTCTTGATTTCTCTGAGAACTGCCAATGATTTTGATGTCAGGGCTGCGAGGTACGATTGCAGTGTTGAATTTCTCCAGGCAGAGCACTTGAAAAGGAAGGTCAAAAGCAATAAGGGCCGGGTTCCTCGGGGCGCGTTCCCCCGGCCCTCTCGCCCAAGAAAACGTTTGGCTGTCACAAAACTAATAAAGAAAAACCTCCAGAGAGGTGGGTTCAGAGCTGCAGGTGTAGGGATCGGGGCTGCACTTACACACAAGCCAGCTCAATAGCGTGGGATCTCTGCTCAAGTGCTTCCTAATGCAGCACAAATTGGATAGCCGGCACGGGGAAAGCGCTGCAGGGAAAGGATTTTTATGGCTTTTGGGGGAGAAAGTGCTTGGCTCTTTTTTAGGGAACATAAAAGGACAGCAAGATGGATTTCTTGGGGTGCTTGCCATGTGAAAGTAGTGCTTTAGGTATGTGCAGAGGGTTCAGAGCCAGCCTCCGAGCTGGTTCTCTGCTGCCTCCCAAAGCAGGGCTTCGAAGGGATTTGGGCAGGGTTTCTGCCATATATCTGGCAACACGGGCTTAAAATTAACTCACTGAAGCAGCAGATAAAGTTTGGGCTCTTTAAAGCTGTGATATTAAATAGAAGTCCTGGAGGAAAGCAGCCAGGCCTCTTGCTGAAGGTCCCATCCTCGCCCTGCCTCTCTGCTGCCCTATAAAACAACAATTATGTGTTTAAAGTTACTGCTCCGTGTCCCTTGTAAAAGCAAACTTATTCATAAACTTCTGGGTAGACAGTTCTGTGGGAATATAACTTCCTTGGCCCGAACCAAGCTGCCTTTTCCAGATAATCTACTGCTACACAGGCTCTTTAAAGTGCGAGCATGCTATTTATTATTTTTTTATCATCTATAAAAGACACCAGTGTTGCAGCTGGGACTGACACTACACTCAAATCAGCAGGAAAGACAGGGAAAACCCCAAGGACAGCTGCTGCTCCCAGAAATATTCACTGGCAGGTGCTGGGGGAGTTCCTGTAATGGGCTGAAATCAGATTTAGCTCAGCACCCAGCACCACTGGCTGTGCTTGCTCTCTGCATGTCCCCAGGCCTGACCCACAGAGCCATCAGCTCACCCCGGGGCAGCAGTGTCAGCTCAGTCACACGGAATTTAACCTTTCCACCTGGTACCTGCAGATGGCATCTTCTTTTGGAGGAGGTTTGGTGAGGTGTGGATCAGCAGTGGGATCAGCAGTGGATCAGCAGTGGGATCAGCAATTTGGGATCAGCAGTGAGGGATCAGCAATTTGGGATCAGAGCTGGATCAGCAGTGAGGGATCAGCAGTGGGATCAGAGCTGGATCAGCAGTGGGATCAGCAAAGGGATCAGCAGTGAGGGATCAGCAATTTGGGATCAGCAGCTGGATCAGCAATTTGGGATCAGAGCTGGATCAGCAGCTGGAGCACTGCCCCAAGCCTTCAGCACAGGGAGCTTCAGGAGCATGGCATTTACTGCAGCCTGCATTAATTATTTGCTCTGTGATTGCACAGAGGTTTCTGCTTCCCACCTTTCCCTGGGATGCAGTTGGGATTTGTATTCCTGGCACTGTTTCCTTTAGCACGAGAATCTTCCCTTTGTTCTCTTCTGACTCCTGTTGACTTTAGGAATGGCTTTGATTCCTGAACGTCTCTTTGAGGGTTTCTTGTCAAGGGGAATATTTATATTTCATAGCATTTGAGCAAAAAAAAAAAAAAAAGGCAAAACAGGCAGGACCTGAGAATGCAGAATTCCTGTCAGATCCTCTCCCAGCTTTTGTGGGGAAAGCATGTGAAGCAGCCACTTTCAGACCTTCAGATCCTTCTGATCTGCTGCTGTGGGGTCAGGGGGAATGTGTGCAGCCTGCTCTGGGTGGTGGGAGAGGCGCTGGGAGATGTGCTGGGCAGCCCTGGGCTCCTGCCCGGGGTCCCGGGGCTCAGCAGCTCTGCTGCTCCCCCTCGGCTGGGCAGGGACAGCTCTTCACCTTTCTGCCTGCGGGTTTGAGTGCCTCTCTTTTTCCAGGCGAGGAAGGAGGTTTATTTCACTTTGCTGTCCCTCTCTCAGTGCCCTGTGTCCTGCAGTTCCCTCACTCAGCACTGCCCATTAGCAATCCTTAATTGGCCCCCACCTTCCCCTCTTCCTGCTGGGGAATAATTTGGGGTTTATGTGCGGTTTTTCTTGGGACTTGTCAAAGAACAATTACAGCCCATTAACTCCCCTCTGTATCATTAGTAATTCACACCTATGGAGTATTTTCCAAGCAGCTGATCTCAGTTGTCTCTTAATTGCTGGAGTCCATAAACTCTGTTACACTGAAACTGTGTGAAGGATTTGCACCCTCTAAAACTTCTCCCTCCAGTGCAAAACATAACAGAGAATGGGAATGTGGCAGCTGTATCAGATCTTACTTCTTCCCTATTTAGGCAAATTATTTGCTTCTGGCTCTGTGGAAAACTCCAAAATGTATATTAAGGTGTAAAAAATAGGAGACTAAAAGGGTGAGGAAGTTGTGGCTGTCGAGCCTGGAGAGGAGAAGGCTCCAGGAGAGCTCAGAGCCTGAAGGGGCTCCAGGGGAGCTGGAGAGGGACTGGGGACCAGGGATGGGGGACAGGACACAGGGAATGGCTCCCAGTGCCACAGGGCAGGGATGGATGGGATCACAGATGGTTTCAGCTGAGCAAAAGAGAAAAAAATACTGTTGGTGGCAACTCTTATTTCCCTGGAAAAAAAAATCCTGGCCCGCTGGCAGAGGAACAGTTTCTGCACAGAAAACATGACACTATTTACAAAAAGCAGTGTCTAATATCCTTTTCCAGCTTGGAAGGAGGAGTTTACTTCAACACATCCTTTTTTAATTGCCATGAGCTGGACTTGTAAATACTGGAAGTGGCTGAGTAATAGTCCTCAGTGAGCAGAGAGAGGAAGGGACAGGTTTTCCACTCCTGGAGCCCTCAGCTCGGGCAGGGGGACTGCACACAGCAGAAACTGAGCACAAATAAAAGCCTCTTAATTAAAAGACCATTTAAGCCCAGGGGATACCATGGGTGTGATGCCAGTGCCCAGCACGGGGATCCAGCTGGGTGAGGAGTTTGTTTACTGGAGGTGGTTTGGGAGGTGGATCCAGGGTGTTCTCACTAAAACATTTCTTCCTTTCCTCTAAAAATTGGGACAGAAAGAGAAGGGTTCCTGCTGAGAAATGGGGACTTAGGGAGAAGGGAGGGATCCCATTTTGTACAGTCTCGTTTGTCACTGACCTCTGCAGGGACCAGTGGGTTTGGGGCAGGATGGGGCACACGGGCAGAGCTGGGGCAGGGCACTGGGGATTCTCTCCAGGGCTGGATCATCCCTGGTTCCCCAGGTCAGGTCCGTGCCTGAAAGCCCAGCCCTGTGAGAGCTCTGTCTGAAAGCAGGAGTGCTTTGTGTTGGAAACAATTTCCTGCTGCAGTTTGGATTTCCTCCTCAGTAATCCTTTGCCCCAGTGGGATGGTACAGAGGGATTCCAGCAAAGCTCAGCTGGCCTGGCTGTGAATTAAACACATCCCTTGATGTTTCTGTGGCAGATGTTCAGGTAGGAAGATACCCCACAGGCACTGCTGGAAAGCTCTGATTTGTGGGGTCAGGAAGGGAAGGAACCTCTCTGCCAGCGTGGGGTTGGGGTCCAGCTCTCTGCTCAGGTACCAGTGAGGCCTGTCGGGGTGAGCGGGGGGAGGAGGAGGAGGAACCTAATCACCCATTTGTAAATGATGGAGGCAGCCTAAGCCTTGTTGTGCTCCTGCAGGGATGCTGGTGGTGATCGTGCTGCTGCTCATCGCCATCGCCGTGGTCGCGCTCTGGCCCACGGGCTAACCCCGGCCAGTCCTGCCAGAGAGCTGCTCCAGGGCTCGGGGAGGCACCTCTGGGGGCAGGGGATGAGCTCCACACATCGCTGGGAACGAGCTGCAGAGCTGGGAATGAACTCCTTCCATCGCTGGGAATGAACTCCTTCCATTGCTGGGAATGAACTCCTTCCATCGCTGGGAATAAACTCCAGAGGTGGGAACGAGCTCCAGAGCTGGGAATGGACTGCACCCATCATTGGGAATAAACTCCACTGCTGGTAATAAACTGAGGCAGCATCCACCAGGCACCCGCTCTCCTTGGCTGAGGAGCTCGGTGGGGTCTGGAGGATTTCAGTGGGAAAAAGGATTTCATCCCACTGTCAGGATTTCATCCCACTGTCAGCATTTCATCCCACTGACAGCATTTCATCCCACTCTTCCCACCTTCCCCTGGCACTCAGCAGCTGCAGCTGAGGATGGACCCCCCTCTCCTGCTCTGGGGCACGCTGGTGCTGCTGCCCTGCCGCTCTCGCTGAGCCCAGACACCCCAGGGCTCCCAGCACCGACATCCAGGAGTGGTTTGGAGAGCAGCAGCGTTCCCTGCTTTGGGATCCCTCCTTCAGAGGGAAAATTCTCTGTTCCAGGAATGGGGAATGCATCTGGGTTCTCCAGGATGGGAAGTGCCAGCCCTGCAGGACCCCCGTGGGCAGCACGGAGCCAACGGTGACCGGGCAGTGCTCAGCCCTTGGGGAGGCACTGCTGGGTATTGATCCCCAGGGATGGCTGTTGGTGGGTTATTGATCCCCAGGGTTGGCTATTGGTGGGTTATGGATCTCCAGGGGTGGCTGTTGGTGGGTTATGGATCTCCAGGGGTAGTTATTGGTGGGTTATGGATCTCCAGGGATGGGAATTGAACAGCAGCAGGCTCAGCCCAGCCTGTGAGAGTGGAGAGCTTTGCCCTCGTGTGCTCCCCAGGGGCTCTGCCAGCCTGGCCTCGGGAGATGCACCACGATTAACATCCTCACTGAGCTCTGGCTCTTCCTTTGACAGCTTCTCACACCCTTCTGCAGCTGAGAGGAAGGATTACCTATTTCAAAACTAATGAAAAAGAAGTATTAAATGTTTGCTTCTGGCCAAGAGAATAATTATTTTGTTACACATGTCAGTTTGATTTCAGGATTAATAGAGCAGCAATAAATACTGATTAAAGCTGATCCATTTATACACAGTTTCTCTGCCTGGGGTTTTATTGTATCTTGTGTTGTCTGTGAATGGTTTATCCAACACTGCCGTATCTAAGAGCTGGTCTGGAGAAGGAAATAAGCAATTTCTGTCAGACTGTGTGTGTATTGTGTCAGATGTGTCAGACTTGCAGGGGCTGCCCTCACCTGCCCTGGTGGTGTCTCCCTTCACAGCTCTGGCACTCGTGTCCCTCTGCCCACCCAGCACATCCAGGGCTGCTCTGGAGGTGGCAGCCAGGCTGTCCTGGTGCTGTCCCCTGGCACAAATGGCACAAATCCATTCTCCTCTTGTTTCCCCAGACTGGCACGTGGGCACTGCCCCTTAGCTAAGGGTTTGGAGGCTGCAGTCCCCTCCAGTCATCTCCCTGCAGGTGCAGCTCCAAGGCTGCAGCTCGGCCCTGTTGCTCCAGGCTCTGAGGATGAGCTGTGGAAAGGATGAAGAAGTTGAGTTCTGCAGGAAGCAGAGGCAGGGAGCTCCTGAGTACCCCCTGGGACACATGGAGTACCCAGGATCCCAGCGGGCTTGGGAGGGGAAGGACTTGAAATCCCATCCCTGGGCAGGGACCTTCCCTGGCCCAGCTTGCTCCAAACCCCCTCCAGTCCAGCCCTGGACATTCCCAGGGACCCAGAGCTGCTCTTCACCTGCCGTGGGTGCTGCTGTGTCCTGCAGCTGTGGGAGCTGTCCCCTGATCCAGAGAGCATTTCCCTGTCCCTGTGCTCCCAGGGAGGGCACGGGAGAGAGGAGCTTGGTGAGAAAGGCCAGAGCTCCAGCTGTGCCCCCTCCAGCTTCAGCCAGGGCTCTGTGCCCATCCTCAGCACTCAGAGCTGGAGAGGCTGCAGGCTGGAGCTCCTCTGGAGTCATCTGTGTGCTCTGCTGGAGAAAATCCCCAAAGCCTTTCCAAGGCAGCCCAGGCTGTGCCTGCTCAGCTTTCTTGGAGAGATGCTTCACCTTGGGGCTGTCAGAGAGGGCAGGGGCAAGCGGGGGGGTTAATGTGCTCTGGTTTTCAAGGGGGCACGGCAGGGGGATCATGAGTTATTGTTGATGTCAGATTAGCACGGGAGCTTTAGGCAGGGCTGCTCCAGCTGGAAATGAGGAAAGGTTTTGGAGAGGAGTTCCAAATCCGTGCATTCCTGCAGCTCTGTGGACACTGGGAATGCTCCTGGAGCTGTTCCCCAGCAGCAGCCTCTGAACCTGGAGCAGGATTTCACTCCCAGCTCTGGAGCAGCCCCGTGGATCTCCAGTGACAGCCAGAGATCAACGTGGGCTTTGTTCAGAGCAGACCACGGGCCTGGGCTCCTAATTAAACCTGCCAGTTCCAGAGGGAATTACAGCTTTGTTTGAATTCCCAGGACACGCAGGATGGACGTGTAACTCATCCTGGTCACCGTTCCACAGCACTCTGTTCTGACCAGGTTTCAAAGGCTTTTCTGACCCACTGGATCCTCCAACACATTCTTCCTGTGAGTGCCTGGGAAGGGTGGAAACAGCAGGGCTTGCTCACTGTGCTGGCCAACAAAGGGGTTCTCAGCCTTGCCCTTTAGGTAGCATTTAACGTGCGGTGTAGGTGAGGAATTTTATTGAAAAGCAGCGGATTTGGCAGCGCTCTGCTGTGTGCAGGGAAGCTTTTCTGTCTCCCTGCCCCACTAAAGAAAAGGGAAGGTTAAAATACGAGAGATGCCAGGGTTTGGCTCCGAGCAGCAGCGGCGGAGGAGCCAACCTGGAGAGGCTTCTCCAAGCAAAAATCTTCCTGGAATGTGCCCAGAGACATCCCAGCCTTCGCCTTCCCTGCCACCTCCTGCATCTCTGTCCTGGAGGACGTGCTCAGGACTTCAGCTGCTTCCAGCTGTAGTTTCATCAAAATCCCAGTGCTGGGGGCAGGTCTGGGGTGTGCCCCAGTGCCCGGGGAAATATCCCCACCTCATCCTGGAATGCTGCTGGGCATTGTCCCATTCCCTGATCCCTGGGGTGGGCTCGGTGTGTGGATGGCTCCTCTCCCTCACTGCCTGCTGGGGCCAGGCTGGGAAAACCACTCCAGCTCCAGCCCTGCGTGGGAAAAGCCTCATCTCCCTCTTTCCAGAGCCACCGTGTCACCTCTGGACAAGTGGCCACCTGCAATCTGGGAAGGCCATTTGCCCCTCGGAGCAGAGGGCTGGCACTGGGACCCATTTGTCCCTGCAATAAACACGCGGCATTTCCGGCCCCGGGATGTTTTTGGATTCATAAATCCCCAGCGCTGCTGAAGGCCCGGGTCAGCTGGGCTGACCCCCAGCACTCGGCAGCCCCTTTTGCCTGGATGTGTGTCCCTGCAATGTTCCCCAGCTCCGGCTCTCAGGCTGTGGGTGCCCCCAGCCCGTGCCTTCCCGCGCTGGCCCCGCTGATCCTGCTGGAGCTGACGGAGCCCTGAGCCTGCAGGAGGGGCAGGGAGGGCAGCCCGGCCCAGCTGCCCCTGGACGGGACAGAACCGGCCCCAGAGTGGGCTGGCAGCTGTCCTGACCCAGACCTTGGCTGTCCCCACGTGTCCCCAGCTCCGGGCAGGGTTTGGCTCTGTCCCCCTGCAGGGCACAGCTGAGCCCCCTGCCACCCACCCACAGTGACCCCGCTGTCCCCAAGGCCAGTGGCCACTGCCTGGGGGTGCTGGGCAGGGACAGGGCTGGCACTGCCAGTCACCAATAGCTGTGCCACCCTGGGGCCACTGACAGACCCAGGGCGTGGAGGGGACACCGTCATTCCCTTGCCCAGGTCCTTGTCCCACAGGTTCAATGAGCAATGGGCTGGGAAAAAGCAGAAATTCCTGGAGAGTTTTACAGTTTACAAGAGTTTATTCAACTGGTTTCTGACTTTAGTTCTACCGAGGGGGTGCTGAACAGTTACAAGCTCCTTCGGGTCAATTACAGCCAATCTAACGAACAAACAAACAAAAGGGGAAAAAAAAGGGGGAAAAAAGAAACAACTCGGAAAAACAATAAGAAAATCCACAACTTTTTCACGTGTCATTAAATATATTCATATATAATAACCATAATATATTAGTATGCATTGTAAAGAAACATCGCCCAAAGCAGTCTGCCATGGTCATAACTAAACAACATTTACAGTTCAAGATATTAACAGAAATAACAAAAAAAAAAAAAAAATCAACAAAATAACCCCAAAAGGAACACAGGTTTGTGAGGGGTGAGGCGGGGGCGGGAGGGGCACGGACAGGACGGACGAACAGAAACGAGACCAAGCGACTTGTGTCGGGTGCTACGGTCGCTGATGATTGTTTTGGCATTTCAGCTGCTCTCCAAAGCCTCCCTGAAGGCACCACGGCCCCTTCCCGGCTGTCCTGGGGGTGCCACTGCTGTCCCCGTGGTGGCCGTGGCTGGGTCCCTGCTGGCCAGCAGGGGCTCGGTGCCCCAGGGCCATCGTGTCCCCCTGGGGGCCAGCAGAGGTGTCCTCCCGGAGGTGTCCTGGCGCAGGGCTGCTGCAGGAAGGGCTGCCCCTGTGCAGCCCCCAGGGGCTGCAGTGCCCTGGCTGCAGAGCTGCTCCAGTGCAGCAGCAGCTCCTGCAGGTCGGGCTGCTGGCAGCGCAGGGGCACCGAGGGTGGAGTCAGGGCTTGGGCTGCCCGGGAAGCACAGAACTCCAGCAGGGACAGAGGGACAGGTGTGGGGGACACCCCCCTGTGCCAGGACCCTGCCTGCTGTGCCAGGACCCTGCCTGCTGTGCCAGGACCCTGCCTGCTGTGCCAGCTCATTCCCTTCTGAACCCCCTGGGTTGTGGCAGTGCCTGGGGGGGTCTGGCCGTGGGGTCAGGGGTGGGGGTCTTCTGCAGCCTCCAGGAGCAGTGGGAGCAGGGGAGGGGCTGGAGGGTGTCCCTGGAGGGTTGGGGTGTCCAGGCTGGGCTGGGAGGGCGGCTGTGCTTGACAAGGGTGGAAGCTGGGAGTGAGCCTTGGGTGCCCAGGTGTGCTCTGGGCAGTTCCCCAGTCCCCAGCTGCCCTGGCCGTTCCTGCTGCTCTCCACGTGGAGAGCTGGCTGTGGGTTGGATTCTGTTACCTAAATGGTGGCTGCAGGAGAGCACCCAAGCCCTGTTTTAGGGCTTTAAGCCTCCATTTAGACACTTGAGGTCAGATTTTATCCCTCAGAACATGGTGGCTTCACTTCCCTTGGCTGCAAAACCCTCAGCTCTCCTTGAGCTTTGAGATAAGGAAAACCAAATCCAGTTTGGAAAGGGGAGAACACACAGACCTGTGGGGGGAGTTGCTTGATGTCCAGGGTGGGATTTTTCTCCTAATACCCAGATTAATTTTGGGGGCCTTGTGGTGGCAGGGGAGGCTGAGCAGAGCTGGGTCCCTGCGGGTGGTGTCTCCAGCAGCCCTGGGAGCCTGCTCTGTGCACCTATTTACATGGCTGCCCTGCTTTATGGTGGTTTATGTCATTATATAAATATTGTCAATTGCTATAAAACAAGGCAAAACCACTGGAAAATGTCATAAAAGAGATGTTTCCAAGTTTCCTAAAAGGAAAAATAGCAGGGAGGTTTTGCTTTTCATAGCGACTAATGTTTGCTTCTCCTCCAGGTAGCGTCCTGCCCTCCCTGCCTTCCTGCCCAGGAATTCCTGCTCTCCCTGGAGGAGCTGGGATTGAAATCCCCATTCCCCAGGGCTGCTGTGGCAGGGGAGCAGCCTGGCATGGAGAAAACAGCCTGGCACGGGGGGAGCAGCTCCAGAGCCAGTCCTGCCCACAGGGTGCTCCAGTCTGAGGTGAGGCAGCCTCCACTGCGCTCAGTGCATTAATGACTGGAAATTGGGAATTGTAAATTGGCTGGTTGCCCCCCAGCAGAGGGAGGAGAGCTGCAGGTGGGTCACACCTTCCCCTTCCCTGTGTGGGCTGTGGCCCAGCCAGGCCCCAGAGCTCTGCACTGGCCCGTGGGGACAGCCCCTGGCACCCTCTGCTCCCACTTTGTCTCCAAGACTTTCACAGGGATGTCAGGGGCTGCAGCTCCAGAGGGAGCGAGGGCAGAGCTGCTGTGGGTTTGGGAGAGCTGCCTGAGTCTGGGGGTGGGACCATGACCAGCCAGCACCCTGGTGTCACCTGCAGGGATCTTCTACCATCTGAGGGTTCCTGGTGTGCTGACAGCAGCAGATGGGAAGAGCCCATGGAGGAGGTTCAGGGCTGCCACAGTGGAGATTCAGGGACTGAGACTGGCACGATCTTCTGGGGCACTTTGTGGGAACTGGATGCCAACTCATTTTTTGTCAGGTCTGGGTGTTTCCTTGGGGATCCTGGTTACTGACTCCTTGGAAATGGGTGCTGGAGGGGGACAGGGCACCCTGTGGGATCATACTCCTTCAGTGTGGTGGGGGCAGCCTCCTCAGGGCCAGGGGCTGGGCACGGAGCCATTCCCAGAGTGATGCACAGCAGGAAGTCACCCACCAACATTGTCCCCTCTTGACTGTGCCTAAAGTGGCCCCAGAGCATCATCACAGCTGGAGACCTCGGCCGCCGCAGGCAGCACCAGGGGTGGCCATGGCTGTTGGACACCAAAGCCCTCCAGGACCCCGTCTGCCCATCCTCGGGTCTGGCCTCAGCAAAAGTCTCGGTTTAGTTTCCTCTACAAGAACTGTCTCAGTCAGCCTAAGTTGCAAACACGTGTTTTGGGGATGGGGGGTTAATTTCCAGCGGTGCTGTTGATTAGTTTCTTACGGGGTGGATGTGCCCATGCCGTGCTTTGGAGGCAGCAGATGTTGGCAGCTGGAAGGCAGTTTGGTGTCTCTGAGTTCTTCAGCAACGGGGCAGGAGGGAGCTGGGGGGCCCCCGGTGCTGCAGGCCTGCACCCCACTCGTGGGTTCTGTCCGTGTGTGGATTGGGTTTTGTTGGGTTTTCTTGGATCCTGTTGGGTTTTGTTGGGTTCTGTTGGGTCCTGTTGGGTCCTGTTGGGTTTTCTCGGACCCTGTTGGGTGTTGTTGGGTTCTGTTGGGTTTTGTTGGGCTCTGTTGGGTCCCATTGGGTTCTGTTGGGTTTGGTTGGGTTCTGTTGGGTTTTGTTTGGTCCTGTTGGGTCCTGTTGGGTCCCGTTGGGTTTTGTCTTCCCTGGAAGAGGAGGTGCAAGCCCAGCACCCCCAGCCGTGGTCGCTGCCCCCTGTCCCCCCAGCCCGCCCTGGCAGCCGGTCCCTGCCCGCCCCAGCTCTACACAAAGCAGCATGCACAGTCAGTCTCTCCCTCTCCTCCTCCTTTAGGCTTTCTTACACTTCCCCTTCTTCTCCCGCTGCTGGAACTTCCGCAGCCGCCGGGCCCACGTGTCCCGCCACTGGATCACCAGGCTGCTTTTGTCCGCAATGATGCCGCTCTGGTCGGGAGAGTCCTCGTTGTTGCCCAGCAGCAGATACTTCTTCATGGGCTTGATTTTGGGGCACTTGCAGGCTATGTCCTTGGAGTGGATCCACAGGGTCTGGTCCCCGCGCCGGATGCGGTTGCTGCCCTGTTTGTAGACGGAGATGATGTTCACCGTGAACTTCCACCAGTCCGCGTTCTTTTCTGCCTTCAGGACGTGGATCTGGACAGCTGGAGAGAAACAACACACAGGCAAGAGGGGAGAAGGTGTTACTGTGTGGGCTGGTGAGGAGAAAATGCGCTTCAAGCCTTACCTAATGGGCTGTGTGAGGAGGAGGGGTCTTGCAGCAGCCAGGGGCTGTGCATGCCCCAAAATGCTGTGCCCAGGCCACCCCCAAGAGCAGGAGTAGCTGAACAAGAACTGGAGCAGCCAGTGCTGCATCTGAGGGTTCAGCAGAGCTTCCAAGAGCACCACAGGCTTGGGAGAGGCTCTGCAGCTCTGCGCCTGGCAGAGTCACTGAAACACCTCTGCAAGCACGGATGGCAGCACGGGGCTCCAAGGAGATGTCCTGGCACAGCACTGCGAGACCTCCAGCTCCCACAGCCAGGGGAGGTGGGAGGACAGCCCTGACCCCTGCACAAGGTGCTGGTGATGATGATGATGGTGATGATGATGATGTTTTCCCAGCCCATGGCTGATGCTGTGTAACCTCCCCTGTAGCCATGGACTGAGGAAACCTCAGCCCTTGCTCTTTGCTGGCACAGGGCTAAAAACCAGCTGCCAGGAAATCCCTTCCCCTGGCAGGGCCTGCCCAGCCCTCCAGGGTTTGTTTGCCAGCTGTGGGTGAGGGATGCCCACAGCAGGGACACAGGCAAGTCCCAGTGAGGATGGGACAGCAGGCAGGGGCCAGGCCTGGTGCAGCACAACCACAAAGAGCTTTTTTAGTGAATCATTGAGCTTTTCCCTTTTCCCCACGGTTCCCTCCATGCCCTGGCAGCTACGAACCCCTGCCCATTCACCTGCCTGCCTGGCTGAGCCCCAGAGGGGCCAACGCTGTTTGTATAAATTACAGAGGGAGAAGAAACCCCCAAAAACCCCAGGGGAAACTCTGCCACTTGTCTTGTAACAGTCCAGTTTTCCCCCTGCATGGACGAGCATCCCCCTGTCTCTAAAACCAAGTGATTCCAGGCTCTGGGAGGAAGCAGAGCTCTGCAGCCCAGCACAGCTTTTTAACACGTTGCAAAATATATGGGGTATTTTTTTTCAGAGAGTGTCATGGAGGCCAGATGCTTTCATTAAAAAAAAAAGGAAAAAGTCAAAAAAAAGAAAAAAAACAACCCTGAGCTCTGACCATGTATTTCCCTGTCTGGTGTGAAGGTAACAAAATGTGAAGAGTAGCCAATTTTTATTTTTTGGAAACAAATCTTTCCAAAAAAGCTTAAACCTTTGACCCGCCTGGGTCCACACTGACAAAATGGAGAAAATGAATGAAAAGGAACTGGAGAGAGGTGGTTACAGGAAACTCTGCTCTAAAACACACAGTCTGTATTTTTTTTTTATGTCAAGGCCCCTGTCTCTTATTTTTTCCCTTTTTATTAATGAAGTGGAAGGAGTGAAAGCTCTGAGGAAGGCTTGGCTGGCGCAGCCACAGCTGCCTGCCCTGACAGCCGGATTTCTGCCACAGCTTCACATCCAGGACGCTCAGCTCCTCCCGGGCCGGGTCTGGAGCCCAGCTCAGTGGTGTCTCAGTGCTGAGGTGGGACCAGCACCTCCCAGGGGACACAGGACATGCAGAGGGGCAGAAATGGGCCAGGATGAATTTTTGGAAGCGCCTAAGATGGATTTCAAGACTCCCTTCCCATGAAGGAGGTTTCAGTCCTTCCTGATTTGGGGCTCTGTGCCCCCCCAGTCCAAAGCTGGCTCTGGGGCTTGGTGCTGCCCCTCAGATGCCCTCTCCTGGGACACAGCTCGGCTTTGTGCTGAGCTGCTCCCCCCTGGCTGATGTTCCCACTGAACCCAGGCCTGTCCCCATGGAAAAACATCCCTGGAAAAGCATCCCTGGCAAAACCAGCTGATGGAAGGTGACAGGGGATGGTGGCTCCTCCTGGGGATGCTGCTCCCCTTGCTGTGGTCCCCTGGGAGCAGGAGAACAACATCAAAGGAGCTGCAGCTTCCACTGCTCCAGCTGGGGCTGCTGACCCTGGTTTCAGTGAGGATGGGCTCTGGCCCAGACTGGTGACACTGGTTTCAGTGAGGACGGGCTCTCTTCCACACTGGTGACACTGGTTTCAGTGAGGACGGGCTCTGGCCCACACTGGTGACCCTGGTCCAGCAGAGGGGATCCAGCCCAGCTCCTGCCCCCCCTGTGCCCTGTGCCTGCTCCTCCCTGGCCTTTGCAAGCTCTGGGCAGCGAGCCCTGGGGGCATTCTGGGGCTCCTGCACCCCCGGCACTCCCAGAGACGCAGAGATTTTTCTCCAGGTTCACTCCCCTGCAGCCTGCTCTGCCCCCCAGGAGCTCTCAGGCTTGGGGAGCAGGGGGACACTGGGGGACAGTGGGGGACAGCTGGGTCCTGGTGAGGGCAGGGGCTCCCCAGGAACCACATCCCACCTGACACTGACACTCCTGAACCGCAGTTCCCACCTGGGTGGTGCCTCCCAGCCCTCACCACCTTTGGTGCTTTGCCAGAAGAAGGTGACAGGGTGGTCCCCGGGCTGGGCGAGGGGAGGGAGGGTCCCTGGTCCCCTCCTGCATCCCCAGAGCTCAGGGATGCTCCTGGCTCCTCGAGGCCTGGCTGGGAGCCTCCAGCCACAAGAAAGCCCCAAAGGCTGGAAGCTGGAGATGAAAGGCCAGGGCTGGAGGGTTTGATGTTAATAAAAACAAAACCCAGCCCAAAGCCTCAAAACAACGTCTGAGGGCAGCTGCTGAAGGCTGAAAGCAAAGCAGTGCTTGCAGCATTCAGAGATCCTGAGTCAGAGCCCCAAACTCCTGAGGCTGCCATGAAAACAGGGAGGCTGGGGAAAACCTAATTATTTAATGACTTTTTAAATGTACATTTGGGGTTTGTGATAAACCTCCTGAGTTCAAGGCTCCCCCTGCTAAGGCTGACTCAGGGCTGGGCTGCAGGGCCAAATCTGTGCTCCTGTGCTGGAATCCTGGAACATCCCACCACGCCATGCACAGACCTTTGTGGGAGCTGGCAGTTTGGGACCATGGCTGTGCTGGCCCTGAAAGGTCCCAGGGAGTGGCAGTGGGAACAGAGCAGTCGGAGGGGATTTCATATGGCCAGGTGGGAGGGCGTGCTGGGGACAGCGGTGGCAGCCCCAGATGTGCCAGTCCAAGGCACGTTCTCCAAAGGCTTGGCTCCCCTCTCACTGCACAAGTGGAGTGTAGTCCATGTGGATTTTATTCCAACCAGCAGCCAAAGGTGACCCCGACACCATCTGGGTTTGGGAATGTAAAGGGCTGGCTCCTCGCTGGAGCAAAGTGTTAAAATGTGATTTTCCCCCCCCACCTTTTTTTCAGTTTTTAATTTATTTGGCGGCGGCTTTGCCTCGCTCTGGTTGCCAATTTCCTACTGGTTTAATATTGGAGATTTATGATCCCTAATCCCTGGGTGTGCCCTGGTGCTGGGGGACCCTCGCTGCCCCGGCCCTGTCCCTCAGCACGTGGCTGCAGCAGGGACTGCTCAGCTCCAGGAATGGGAATTTTCACCTTCCAAGCACTGCAAGGGGCTCTGAGTGCCGGCCTTGGTGCTTCCTCCTGCCCTGGGTTTTTTGGGGATTTGGGTTGTTCTCCCCCTCCCTCCCTCCCTCTTTTCAAGCTGCCTTTTGAAAACACGTTTTGCTTTTTTCCAGCAGCCCCTGCCAAGCTCCTCTCGACAAAGGGGGTGACTAAGAGAAGGCTCCACTGAAGGAAGGATTTTTTTACTTTTTTTTCCAAGAAAGGGCAAAGCGAGCAGATGATCTCACCTTTGGGATGAGGATTCTGTTCCTCAGCCCCATTCCCTGCCCAGAGCTGGGATGGGGATGCAGGGCCAGCAGGGGACCACAGTGCTGGTACAAACCCTTCCAGCATCATCCGTGCAGGACCAGCCCTGCCGCAGCACAGGCAGCTCAGCAGCAGGGGCTACGTGGAGATTTAAAAGCTCCAGGATTCCCTCACCACAGTCACACCCCACAGAGAGCAGGAACATCCCCAAAATCGGGCAGAAGATGGGGCACCCGAGGGAGTACAGGGTGTTCACATCTCACCTGGACCAGCATCACCCGCTCTCATCAGATAACCCCTCTCCTCCTGGGGGTCTCCACCCTCGGTGGGTTCAGCCAGAATCCCTTCTGCTCCCCCTTGTCATTTAAGTGCCCCCACCGCAGCAAACCCCTCCTCGCTCCCTGCTCTTCTGGGAGCTGAGCGGCCCTGCGCTCCCCCACGCAGCCAAAAGACCCCAGAAAAAGCTTTTCTGCCTCTGCTCCTGCCTCCCCCTCCCCGAATCTCCCGGCCTGCCCTCCCCGCCTCCTGTCGCACTCCAAATATTTGCACCCAAACCCATCCCGCGGGAGAAAAAGCCCAAATTAAAATAAAAAGGAAAAAAACCCCACCACAAACCCGACAAAAACAAACAGACACGATAAATAAATAAGGGAAAATACCGCCTTTGAAAGGCTGAATGAAGCGGGGAGCTAAAAAGCCCCATTGAGGAGCGGGCGGATGATAGCTCCCGATTGAGCCCAAGGAGAAGGAACTCTGCTCAAGCTAATTAGGGCCTTTTAGGACATTCAGCCCGGCGATGCCAGCAGAACGGTGAGGAAAAGAGCCTCCTAATTGGCTTCCTGCTGGGGTGTCAGTCCCAAAGTCTTTATTATCCCTCCCTGCACCTTTTCAACCCTTTCTTCCCTCCCCGGCCCTGGGGAAAGCCTGGGCTGCCCCGGCATCGCTCACCCCGCTGCCTCTCCACCACGGTTTGTCCCCAAAAAAGCAAATTGCCGGGGGCTGGCTGGGGCCCTGGGGCTGTGGGGGACCCTTCCGTGGCCAGCAGGGTCGGGTGGGAGCACCCCAGTCCCCGCAGCTGGGCAGCCCCAGCACACGGCTCTGGCTGGCTCGTGAAGCTGCAGGAGTGATGCTGAGCCAGAGAAGAGGAGGGAAAAGCTCATCTCAGCTCCCCTAATCCCTGCTCCTCGTCCCCATCCATTGGGATCTCCTGCCTGAGACACCTCTTAGCCACCCACACCTCCCCGGGGTCTGCTGCAGCCCACAGGGCAGCCCCAAACAGAGCCAGGTGTGAGTGTCACCCAAAATTCCAACAGAACCGAGTGTGTCACCCAAAACTCCTACAGGTCCGGGTGTGTGTCAACCAAAATTCCAACAGAACCGAGTGTGTCACCCAAAACTCCTACAGGTCCGGGTGTGTGTCAACCAAAATTCCAACAGAACCGAGTGTGTCACCCAAAACTCCTACAGGTCCGGGTGTGTGTCAACCAAAATTCCAACAGAACCGAGTGTGTCACCCAAAACTCCTACAGGTCCGGGGATGTGAGTGTCACTCAATGAAAAAAACTAGGTGTGAGTGTCGCTCAAACCTCCAACAGAACAGGGTGTGGGTGTCACGCAAACCTCCATCACCCAAACCTCCATCACCCAAACCTCCCACAGAAGCGGGTGTGAGCTGTCCCAGGGCTGCAGCACCCTCTGAAGTCTCCTGGGAATTATGGGGGATTGGACGCAGGTGACAGGGAACTGCTTGCTGCTCATCCCCACAAGAAAAAAATATTTCAAATATTTTAAAATATTCAAAAGCCGCGGCATGTAACAGCACAGCGAGAGGGGACATGGTGTCACCATAACCCCGAAGCCGCTGGGAAACACTTGGAAAACAGGAGTGTCCTGCAGACGCTGGGACAGCCCCAAAGCAGGGGCGGGGGCTGCTCACCCCAGTGCCACAGCTGCCTGTGCCCGCCTGGCAGAGCCATTGGCACAGCTCTGCCCAAGGCAGCCCGGCTGTGCCCGGGTGGCCCTGGCCGCAGGGGACACTCACCGTAGTCCTTCTTACAGTACTTCTTCATGTTGATCTTCAGCTTCCCCTTGGAGGCTTTGCAGTACGAGTCACAATCTGCGGAGAGAGGGGGAGGGCACGACAACATTAACAAAACAAATTAGCGTTCCGATGAAGGCAGGCTGGGGGAAGGGCCGGCCCCGAGCCGTGGATAGGCAGCGTGCCTGTGACATCCATCTGGCAGCCCCGGCCGGCCATTGAGGAGCCCTTCCTTTCTAAAGAAAGCTGCTCACAAAGGGGCCCGGCCTCCCCCGCCTCCCCGGCCCGGCTTCCCCGTCTTCCTGGGAGACCCCGGGGCCTCCCTTATTGTGCCACCCAGAGCTTTTGAGAGGCACACAAATTGCCTGTTCCCGGTGCGAGGGAGCCGGCCCGGAGCCCACAGAGGCCCCATTGTCACCCGGAGCCCGGGCCGGTGTCAGCCTGTGGCATTCAGCGCCGGGAGGTGCGGGCCGGGGTCAGCCCGCCACAATGCGGGTCACTGAGGAAATTAGCAGCCCATGAAGCATTAGCAAAGCCTTTTGGTGTCCACTCTGCTGAAGTGTGCAAATAAAATACCCCAGCAGGAACGTTTCATTTCTAACGGGCCCCCGCTTCTGGGACACTGCTGGGACACTCGCGGGCGGCCGGCGGGAGCCTGGCACGGCCCCCTGGCACTGCCACGGCTGCTGGCCACGGGCCACGGGCCACTGGCACGGCCCTGGAGGCTGCAGGGACACCCAGCCCTGCCCGGGAGCGGCAGCAGGTGGGCAGTGCCCGCTGGGCACGAGCCCACCATGGCTCCTGGTGGCAGAGGGGCTGGGCCATGCCAGCTGCCAGGAGCGGGCTGGGGTCTGCCCGTGCACACCCACGGCCCCTCAGCTCCCACAGAGCGCCCTGAGCCAGGGAGAAAGGACGGGGCTGCAGCAGGAGGCCTTGGCACAGCCACAGCCCTTGGAGGCCTCCGTCTCTCCCAGCACTGTCCATCCCCAGCCTCTGCTGAGGGCCCAGCCGGGCCCCAGGGGCTGTGGGGAAGGTGCCATGCTGCTGGTTGTTTCCCCACAGAAACATCCCTGGCCCAGCTGAGCTCCCCATCCCTGCACCTCTGCCACGGTAATTCTGTTCTGCCTGAGACCCGCTGGGAACGCACCCGGGGCTGTTTGGCAGCCCGGGGGCTGTGGGTGGTGGGACAGCACCCATGCCCACAGCACCCACAGGTGCTCAGGACACCCGTCCGGGCAGGGCTGACGCTGCTTTGCTGCACACAGCCCTGCCCTGGCGTTGTCCTCGCTCCCCAGCCCAGGGCTGTGCCACAGCCCCGCCTGGTTTGAACTGGGCCTGGCAGAGGCAGCTGCTGTAAATCACTGGCAACCCCCAGATGCCAGAGCTGCTTGCCTGGGTGGGGGATCTGCTCGGGTTCATTTCCTTTGCCTCCCTCGTGGAGGGCTCCTGGGTGACGTGGGGATCCTCGGGGGCCTCTTTGGGCGGGCAGATGGGGTTTCTGTGAGCCAGAACTGAGCTCTGCGGGTGGTGGTGCTGCGAGGCCACCCTGCCCTCGGGACAGCGCACGGAGGGGACGCTGCGGGGAGTGCCAGCCCTGCCAGAGCAGAGCCTGCTCTCCCCAGTGACTCTGCAGCAGTCCGGGCTCTGGGGAGCTGTGCTGAGCTGCTCCTCGCTGGGGAAGGGACGGGCGTGCAGCAGTCGGGGCTCTGGGGAGCTGTGCTGAGCTGCTGCTCCTCGCTGGGGAAGGGACGGGCGGAGAAGGTGGATGTGCAGCTCAGTGACAGAGGGTGCACAGCAGGCACGGGGATGTGACCCTTGCAAAACGTGTCCCCAAAGGTTTATGTGACAAACCTCAGGCGTTCCGGTGGCCGGGGCCGGGAGGGATCGGGCGGCGCTGGAGCCGCCGGCCCGCACAGGAGCAGGTGGCGGGCGGCTGCTTCGTGTCGCTCGCAGCTCGGTACAACGTGTCAGCACAGCCTTCAGCAGCTTTGCAGCTCAGCCCATCCCCTTGATAGAGCTAATTCTCTGGCTGGGCAGAGACTTTTCACAGCTAAACACCTTCTTTGTTTTGCTTAATTTCTTTTTTCTTTCTTTTTTCTTTCTTTTTTTTTTTTTTTTTTTTTTTAAGTTGAATTTTTTTTCTGTTTAAACATCTTTGTCTGGGGCTGCTGTGAGGAGGCTGGGAGCTGCGGGGTGCTGAGTGCTCATGCCGTGATTTGTTCAGGGATCTGCCCGGAGTGCTGCAGCAGCCGGGGCTGGGCAGGACGGAGGTGCTGGCAGCAGGGCTGGGTGCTGAGTGTTGCTGCAGGGAAGACCCTGCAGCAGGCGCCTCTTGCTGCACTCTCAGCTCCAAGATCAGCTTTGAGCCGCTGCGAAAGCCACATGTCGGGAACGGAAATTAAAGGCCCCTTGATTCTGACATGATAGAGCGATTAAAGCCACATTTCTTGGCCTGGGTACCTAACTGGAAATGCAGATATAAGGCTTAGATCCCCAAGGGGATTCAGATTTCTAATCCCAATTTATGCAGCTAAATTCCTATTGATTTCCCCCAGGTAGGGCCCTAAATGCCTTTGTGGGCTGTGATCCAAAGTGGAGGTGTTGTGGCTTAGGAGGGAGCTCCGGCCCTGACAGCCTGACCCCAGCACTGTCAGGCCTCCCTCCATGGCACTGTCCTGCCCTCCCTGCCAGGCCCCTGTCCTGCCCTCCCTGCCATGGCACTGTCCTGCTCTCCCTGCCATGGCACTGTCGTGCCCTCTCTGCCATGGCACTGTCCTGCCCTCCCTGCCAGGGCACTGTCAGGCCTCCCTCCAGGCCCCTGTCCTGCCCTCTCTGCCATGGCACTGTCCTGCCCTCCCTCCATGGCACTGTCCTGCTCTCCCTGCCAGGGCACTGTCCTGGCCTCTCTGCCAGGCCCCTGTCCTGCCCTCCCTGCCAGGGCACTGTCCTGCCCTCCCTGCCAGGGCCCTGTCCTGCCCTCCCTCCAAATCTGAGCTAACTTCTCCATAGCCAGCCCTGGACCTGCCACTGCTGCATCCTGGCTCTCCTGCAGCCCTGCAGCGAGAGGCTCTGTCCCCTCCTGGGGGATGGGGGTTGCATTTCAGTGCTGTAGAGCCCCCACCAGTGCCCAAGGGGAGGAAGGTGCAGTTTTGCCTATTCTTTGAAGCTGGACCTGAGCGATTCCTTCCTTCAGCAGGAGTTGGGGAATGCCAGCTCTCAGCTGTGTCTGTCCTGGACCCCCCTGCTCCCAACCACAGCCTGGGCTGGCTCCCCGAGCCCCTCCAACAACCACAGAACTCTCCAGGTGCCCCAAGAACTGCTGCAGTCCTGAGGGATGTGCAGGACAGCGTTACAGCTGCTCCATGGCTCTGCAGAGCTTCCTGCTGCCCCATCCCCACAGGACTGAGAGCTCCTCCAGCCTGTCCAGACTCTGCAAAGAAATTTCCAGCCCCTTCTACAGGCAGCACATCCTCAGCCTGAGGCTGGGGCCTGGAGGAAAAGCTCATGGAGCAAAAGGGGGGTGCAAAAGGGGGGTGCCTTGGGGAGGGCAGGGGCAGCAAAGTTGTGTGTCTGCTCTGGGGCTGAGTGTGGGCTCAGAATGTTCCCCTGGGCAGGAAAACCTTTCTGTGAGCTACCCAGAGCAGCCAAAGGCAGCTGGGAGCCACATTCCCAAGGGACAGGGGATGAAATGCAATCCAGCCTGGGGCAGGAGAGGGTGGCCCTGCAGCAGTCGTGGCAGGGATGCCTTTGGCCCTCAGGCCTCTGGAGATTTCCCCAGGTGTCCATGAACTGCTGCTTTGCTTCCCACAGCACTGAGGCTGCCCCTTGCTTCCATCCCAAAGAATTATTTTACCACGTCCCCCATCAGTCCAGGGAATGACTGCTAGAGTCATTTGGAGAGCTCCAGCCCTGCTCTGCTGGCTGTGTCCTGAGCACACGTCCTGGGGAAGGAGGGGGTGCTCTGCAGGAGCCCTCTGCCTTCCCAGGGAGCAGGGATGGGCTCATCCCTGTGGGACAAGCACAGGGGCTGCAGCCTCTGGCTCACAGTGACTGACAGGGATCACTGCTGTAATTCAATTTGTGCAGGACTCCACTGGGAGTCTGCCTCGGAGCTGGCTGCTTTAATGTAAAGAAGCTTTAACAAATAGCAAAGCTAAGGCAGAGAATCCTTCCCAGGTTATTCACTCCAGCAGTGGCATCGCTTGTCCTGTGCTTTGCTGCATCCTTGTCTGGCCACGGAGTGGACAGGGGTCTGTTATCACTAACTGGCTCTGTTATCACTAACTGGCTCTGTTATCACTGCACTGGCTCTGTTATCACTAATTGGCTCTTCTCCTCTCACCTGGCTGTGACCCAGCTGTCCTGCACGATGCCCTTTGCAATTATCCTGTGCAAATGAGTGCCCGTCACCCCCGGGCAGCTGCAGGACAGCTGGTGTCCCCTGCAGGGTGGCCTTGGCTGCTCCTCCAGCATGGCCAGGGGCTGGAGCAGGGAGCCACGTCCCTTGCAGGCCTTGGACCTGGGTCTGCTGGGGCTGGGCTGCTCCAGCCGTGCCTGCTGTGTTACCCAGGGGATGTGCCCCAGCTCTGAAGCAGCCTCAGCCTGTGGGCAGGGATTGCAGGGCCCTGATCTGCCCCCAGAGGGTCTGTGCCAGCCTCGGTGCCCAGCAAGCCTCGGGCACTGGGTGGTGTTTAACCAGGTGACCTGGTCTGTCCTTGTCACCTCCCAGCTGGGAGCAGCAGTCCCCAGGAGCTGGCAGGGGTTTGTCCTGTCAGCTGAGGGGGGTCTGTGCCCAGTCTGCCAAGGCAGAGGCACCTGCTGGGCATCAGAGCACCTTCTGCTCTCCCTCAGAGCATCTCCCTGCCCTTGGCACCAGCACAGGACACCAAGGCCAGCCCTGCCCTGTGCCGGGCACAGCCCCAGGGCACCGAGCCGTGCCACTGCCCGGCGGGGCAGGGAAAGCAGGAGGAGTAATTTCCACTCTTATTCATTTGTTTCTTTTACTGCTTTGCAGACCCAAACCTTCCCTTGGGACTCCGCTGCTGCCTGGCAATGGATACACAAAACCTTTCCTGCGGGATGCCACCTCGGGAGCCCCTGGCAGGAGCATCCCGAGCCCTGCCTGCAGCGGCTCCTGACAGCCAGGAGTCCCAAAGCTGTCCCTGTGCCACTGGCCGCTCTCTGCCCGTGCTCCGGGACAGCTGCGGAGCTCCCGGGCGGGCAGCGCGGCCGGGGCCGGGCCGGGAGCGCAGATCCCGCGGATAACGGCCATTAACCTCTCCCTTGGAACAAGAAGGTGCAAATGAGCCCGCAGTAGCCTCCTTTCTTCTGGCTGAGCAAGATTGATTGAAAAACAAATTGGCGCAAATAAAGCATGTAATTAGATTAAAGCCTCTCGCCTGGAGCGGGTGGAAAGCGGCAGCGAGGGATTCCCGGGAGCCCGCAGCCCCTTCCCACCTTTGCAGCCCCTTCCCACCTCTGCAGCCCCTTCCACCTCTGCAGCCCCTTCCACCTCCGCAGCCCCTTCCCACCTTTGCAGCCCCTTCCCCCTTCGCAGGCCCCTTCCACCTCTGCAGCCCCTTCCACCTCCGCAGCCCCTTCCCACCTCTGCAGCCCCTTCCACCTCTGCATCCCCTCCCCCCTCCGCAGCCCCTTCCCACCTTTGCAGCCCCTTCCACCTCCGCAGCCCCTTCCCACCTCTGCAGCCCCTTCCCACCTCTGCAGCCCCTTCCCACCTCTGCAGCCCCTTCCCACCTTTGCAGCTCCTTCCCATCTCCGCAGCCCCTTCCCACCTCCGCAGCCCCCTCCACCTCCGCAGCCCCGGCGCGCCCTGGGGCCACCAGCCCCGGTGGCCCAGCAGGACCAGCACTCCAGGATGTGACTAGGCTGTCCCCCCACACAATGTCCTTGCAGGCCGCTCCAGTCCCGGTCCGGGCACGGCTGGGGTGCCTTCGGTCCCTCCCTGGCAGCTCTGGTCATGGTCTCGGGGGGAGCTCCCTCCCTGCCTCGGAGCTGCCTGGGCCGGTTTGGGGATGGGGATGAACGGCCCGAGGGGTTTGTGGTGGTTCAGGACAGTTGTGGCCTCAGCAGCACATCCCAATTTTCCCGGGGCTAAAGGGAGCAGGAGGTGGCTGCTGGTGGCACAGCGGGGACAGTCCGGCTGTGCCAGACACCCACTGGAAACGCTGCCCTGGACACGCCTGCGGTGGGAGCACTGCACTGGAAAACAAACAATTGGAACACACCTCCCTGGAAAGCTCCCCACCAACACGGGGTTCTACAGCTCCTCCACTCGGCTCTGCCCCCTCCTGAGCCCTCTCCCAGGGCTGGCTGCACATTTCCTATCCCTTCCCCCAGGATCTCTCTGGTGCTGAGCCCCAGGACACGTTGGGGACATGGGGGACAGATCCAGGGGTGCCCTGCCAAGAGCCACTGCCAACAGCACGAAACACATTCCTAGGAAAACATCTGTCCTCGAGAGCCCGGCACCCCATAAATCCCTGCCTGGCAGCAGCTCCCAGCCCAGGGGCAAAATCACAGTTTTCTGTTGGGGAGAGATGCAGGAACAGGGAGCTGGTGCTGGGGACAAGAGCTTCGTGTCCCCAGGGGGAATCAGCCCCTGGAAATGGCCCAGGACGGGGAGGGGGACCTTGTCAGTCCTGGCTCTGAAGCTCGAGGCTTGCCTGTGGTGGGATGTGGGGATAAAGGGGATTAAGGGACACGGGGATGAAAGAATAAGGGGGTGGAGGAATGGAGGAGTTTGGGGTGGAGGGATGGGGTGCAGGGATGTGGGGCTGGAGGGATGCAGGGATGTGGGTCTGAGGGATGCAGGGATGTGGGGCTGGAGGGATGCAGGGATGGAGGAGTGAATGGATGTGGGGCTGCAGGAAGCCTGGTACTGGGATGATGAGGGCACGGTGCTGTTGTGCATGAAGCTTATCTGCATTTCAGCAGTTTTGGGGGGTTTCGTTTTTTCCTGCAGACTTTCTGAGCTGTTTTGAAGTGACCAGGGGCTCCCTCACTGGAAGCCCCTCTCCCCCATTGTGCTCCCAGCCATTCACTGGGATCAGCATGAGAACCCTTTCAGAGGGAGCTGGATGCTGCTGATCAATCAATCAGTCAATCAATCACGCAGCCAATCCATCACCTCGCTTACAGCTGGGACAAGGCAGAGAAAGCCCGGGCAGGGCTGAATGAATTCCTCCTTTGGAGGGGTACAAAGCTGGAGACTCCCGGGCTGAGCCCAGATTTACCCCGGGGGAGTGAATTGAGGATTTCCCTGCGCCGCAGGGAGCTGGGCAGCGCTTTGTTCCCAGGCTCGGGATGCTCCCGGCTCTCCGCAGGGCTGACACCTCCCCACAGCCAAGGCTCGGGCTTTTCTCCCTGCCGGTGCTGAAACAGGAGCTCCAGCTCACCAGGGAGGGCAGTTTCCCCCGTTCCTGGTTCTTGGGGGAGGATTCAGGTTAGAATTTGGGTACCACAGCATGCAGCCAGCTCTGCCCCGGGTCTCCTCTGCCCTCTGGGACAGCTGAAATGCAGCCAGAGCTGCTCTGGGTCTGGGGAGGCCAGGGATGCCCAGAGCTGGCTTTTCCTTTTCCTGCATTTACATCCAGCCTCTCCCCACCAGCCAGGAACAAAAGGGCCCAAAACGACATTTGGAAGGGCCAGATCTGGTTTTGAAACTGCAGAGGTTGATTTCCAGGGGAAAACCGTGGGGAGCTGCATCAATCCCATCACCTGGTTCTATTTAAGGCCCCTGGCTGAAATCATCCACCTCAGATAATCATTCCCCAGAAAATCTGGATTTGATTCAGATAAGACAAGGACTGACTGGCAGGTTTGTAAACCTTCACCCCCCCCACACTGCTATTTTTGTTTGTCCTTTCACTGTGGTCTCTTCTGTCTGAGAGGGACCAAAAAAGCACCAGAAAAGCTCCTCTTGCCTGGCAGCAGGAATGAGGAGCAGCCCCTCCTCTTCCTCCAGTCTCCCAGCATGGGAGAGCATGGATGCATGTCATGTAAACAATCCACTTTTGGCCTGTTTTCCCAAACTGATTGGGACCCCTGAGAGCCAAGCAGAGCCAGGCAGGACCCCCCACACCAGAGATGTGTCCCACCCCTCGTTCCAAGGCCAGCTTTGGCCCGTGCTCCTCTGCCATGGGTGGTGCTCCCTCAGCTCTTGGCCACTTTCTGTCCACGTGGCCACGAGGGCAGGAAATGGAGCTGCCCCTCTCCCACAAGTGCCTGCACTCAGAGTCTCCCACCAATTGCTTTTCCCACCTTGTTTCCAAACCCTTTTTCTCCCACAGCATGGGAGCCCTGGCTCGCAGACACTGATTTAGGGGTTTGTGAAAAACCCCCCAGGTTTCAGCAGGGTGGGGGTGGGAGCTGAGGGATGCCAAGACACAGCACTGCTGGATGCTCCCCGTGGAGGAAAAGGGATGAAATATGCAGGGGTCAAGCTCCTTGGCAAGGCAGTGCTTAAAAACTCCAAAATAAAATCCCAGCGAGAAGAATCATGATGGGATTTTGGGCCTGATGGATTGCTCAGCTTGGCTCAGCCTTCTCTGGGCTTCCACTGGGAGAAGGCTCCTGGTGGGATCCCTGGTCCCGCCTCTGGGCAGGGAGAGGGGACATGTGGCCCTGCAGGGACACGGGGATCCATCCCCAGGGCACTGTGCAGGCATCTCCCACCCTCCCAGACCGTGGATAGCCTCCCAGCCGCAGCCAGGGCTCCTGGGCCAAGGAGGGGCTCAAACCCTGCTGGATGTTCTCAGTGACCAGCTTTATGCCAGCTCAGCTGCCTTAGAGCCCTGAGCAGCCCCTGTCCCGTGGCAGGCTGTGTTTGCACGGGTAAAACCTGTCCCTGCAATCGGTCCCACAGAGCCCGGGACACTGGGCACTGAAATGTCCCCTGGGTGACAATCCCTGCCACAGGCCACGGCCCAGGGATCAATCCAAGGTGACATCTGCCACTTTTAGTACAAACTGCTTCATTTATGAACCCTCCTGCACTGCTGAGATAAAAGGAAACAGCTTTTACACCTCATGGCCTTCAGAGCCGGGGCTCAAATACCCCAGGAACCAGCAGCAAGGACAAGTCAGCCTTTGTGGAACCCTCTGTCACCCCCTGGTCAGTGCCACCAGAGCCCCTCGGTGACACGGGGGACAGCTGTGGTTCCCAGCACTGGGTAACCCCCTGTGCTCACAGGTCCAGCAGGAAAACTGCACACCGAGGAGCAGCAGGTCTCAGGAAGCTGCACCTGTGCTTCCAGCACGTCTGGGCAGAGAAGGAAACCACCCACCCTGGTACCAGCCACAGGACTCATGCCCTTGGTGCGATTTATCTCCAGGGAGGTGATGGCAGGACAGACATTTACCCCGAGGTGCTCCAAAGAGCAGAGCAGAGCAGAGCAGAGCAGAACAGCCAGCCTGGCTCCTCGGCGCTGCTGGCGGCCGTGGTGGGAGGAGCAGCCGGGATCTCTGCGGGGCACCCGGGGCACAGAGGAGAGGAGAGAAGGAGCAGAGGTTATTCCAGAGCCAGCCAGCCTGCTCCCTGCACACTGCAGGCTCCCCTCCCGGCCGTGTCTGCCCGCAGGAGCCCCCCGAGCAGCACAGGGGAGCTGGGGATCAGGCAGTCCCTCAAAGCTTTACCAAGGGGGTTTTTAACAAAAAAATTGGCTTTTGGCTGCGTGCTGCACTGTGCCCAGCCCCTGTGGGCTCTGTCACTGCCTGTCCTGGGTGTCCCCTCCAGCTGCTGGCACGTTTGGAGGCAGGGTGCAGGCACTGCTGGCTCTGCTGGGATGCAAGGCTGCCTCCCACATCTAAAGGAAACACAAACACATCTGGGGCCAGTTCCCTGGCCCTGGCTCTGCCTTGGGGCCGGCTCTGCAGAGCTGAAACCACAGCATGCTCGGGAGATCCCTTGCCAGGCCGGGCTGTGCTTGCTGAGAGGATGGGCTGTGGATGGAGGGAGCTGGTCCCAGCTGTGCAGGACGCTCCCCTTGGATGTCCTTCCTGCATGTAGGGCACGGTGCTGGCATTTCCCTGCATTCCTGGGAATGCTGGCATGGGAACACCCAGGAGTGCACGGCCACCAAGGCAGGGCTTGCTGGGGTGTGGCAGCAGCTCCTGGGGCTGCAGCCCAGTCAGCAGCAGGTGATTTTTGGGGTGGCTCACCTTCATGCAGTTAACACAGCACAGCCATCCCACAGCTGGGCTGGGGGTGCTCCTGCTGGCCTGACACAGACCCAAGGTGTTCTTTTCATGGCTACAAGTCTCTGGGAGCAGGGAATTACGAGTGGTAAATCAGAGAGTGACAGTGCCCAGCCCCAAACCCTGGCTGGGCTGTGTTGAAATCCTGGCCTGTCTTTATTTAGTGCCATGAATCCTGAGGGAGCTGATGCAAGGAACAGTTTGCTCTCTGATTTCCCCTGGCCCTGGGGGAGGATTCATGATCAACCTTTGTGCACACTTGCTGCACAGCAGACTGGAGCCACGGCTGGAGGTCCTGGGGACAACGAGGCTCTGCTTTGGGCTCTTGCTGTCCCATTGCAACACGGGGAGAAATGAATCTCTAGTGACCCCAAACCACCCTGGAATGTATGTTTTCTTCAGCAGGAGAAGGTGGAGAAAGGGTCTCTGCCCCAGGATTTGGCAATGGCCATGCTGGGGGGGCAATGGTGTGGGAGCAGACTGTGGGTCCCCAACAAAAGCTTGCAAAGAAAAAGGGCCTTTTTCTCCTTTTAACAGCAGGGAATCACCCTTAGGGGGCAGTTCCTCCTTCCATCCCACCCCAGGCACACTGATTTTGGTGCCTTGTTTTGTTAGGGCAGGTGGGGGTGTCCCACAAGGAGCACTGGAAGGTTCCACAGCAGCAAACCCCAGGCAGCAGAGAGGGGCACAGGACTGAACCCCCTCCCAGGGGCTGAGGGCATCCAGTGTTTGCAGAGCAGAGCCTGCAGTGGAGGCATTTTGGGAGCTGTACCTGCCTTGGGAAGGCAAATTGAAAAGCAAACCCAAGGAAGCCGAAGGTAAACCCACCCGTGTTTCTGGGAGGGCTGTGTGAGTGCAAGAGCCCCTTCAGCAACCCAGGGTCCTCAGCTATGGTGGCAGCTCCTTCAAAGGAGCAGCTCCTGGTCTGAGCTGAGTGCCAGTGCAGCACTGATTTTGGACAGAAAAACCTGTTTGCTTGTGTCACCCCTAAATAAATGTGCTCGTGGGGCACATCTGTTCCATGAAGCAAAATTGAATTCCCAGCAAACCTGGCTGTAGATGCACTCACAGAACCCCCCAAGCAGGCAGGAGAGCTGCTGGGAGCTGCTGTGGATTTTGGACCACGCTTGGGCAGAGAGGAGGGCCGGGGTCCCCGGGCTCAGCACCCCCAGCCCGGGCAGCGGCTCCGGCAGGTTTTTAAGGGTTAAAATCTCAGTTTCACAGAAAGGAGGAAGATGCACCTACTTATGCAGGGGGCGATGGGGGAGCGGCTCTGCTGGTAGCCCTTGGCGCAGCGGTTGCAGGTGATGCCGGTGACGCCGTCCTTGCAGGGACACTGCCCCGTGGTCTGGTTGCAGGTCTGGCCGGCCGCCCCCACCGGGTGACAGTCGCACTCTGCGGGGACACACGACAGCAGGGTCAGGGCAGGGCACAGGTGTGGCAGCTCCCCCGGCAGCGCTCCCCTTCCCTGCGCTCCGGGAAAAGCCGGAATGAGCTGGAGCAGAGCTGGCACGGGGGCTGGGGACAGCACTGGTGGCCCTGTCACACCCCGCTGCGGGACAGAAGGTAGACAGCGTGGGGTGCATCCCACGGACACCACGCTCACCCCCTGAGTGCTGGGATCGGGATTTGCAGGATTTAAAGGCAGGGCAGCAGCCCCACTGCCCCCAGCAGCCCCAAGCCCCGGGGGCTGGCAGGGCTGGTACAGAGGTGCAAACCCAGCGGGGCTCCACCACCCCTCGGTCGGGCAGGAAGCAATCGCTCGGGAATTCATTCCACGTGCACTCCAGGAAAAATCAAAGCAGCGCTTTCAGAGCCCTTCCCGCTGAGCAGCATCCCTGGCAGCTGGCACTGCGGGCACAGGAAGGAAATGCCCTTGTGGGATGCAGGCGGCTGGAGGACCTGCTCTTCCCGGCCAGATGGATGCAGCCTTGACGGCAGAGCTGGGCAGATGTGAAGGGTTTGGCAGGGGATGTAAATACTGCACTTGAAAACATCCACCATCTCATTTCCCACAGTGGGACTTCACCGGCACAGCTGTTTGAGGGGGGGGGAAATTAAAAAGGGAAAAAGAAGAAAAGCCCAAAAAAAAAAAAAAAAAAAGGAAAAAAAAAAAGAAAAAAAAGCATCAGGGCTTGTTATCATCACTGCTCCAAAAGGATTACGGGCTCGCACATTTGTTAACAGCCCTGATTTCTAAGAGCTGCAAGCGCCGTGCCAGACTGCGGGCTGCCCCTGCTGAGCGGTGGCAGGGACAGGCAGGCAGGCAGGAAACTTTCCTTTTCTTCTGCAGCATCCCCGGGAAGGAGCCAGCCAAATCCCTCCCTGGGGAGCGCTGACCCCGCTCTCCTCCTGCCCCTCGGGGGAGCTGCCTGCCAGGAACAGGGGCTGGGGAAAGCTGTCCCACTGCCTGGGCCTGGAGGGGCTGCGCTGGGGGTCAGGGCAGGGCCAGTGTCCCCAAGGGCTCCAGTGGCTTCAACCCCCCCCAAACTGGGCACATCACTCCCAAGAGGGCTTTTCCTGGACCCTGCACGCCCCTGGCTCTCCAACACCCTAAAAGTGCCTCATCTGGGGACAGCAGAGCGCATCCCACGCAGGGTTTGGGTTCCCAGGCCTTGGTGTGGCTGTGGGCTCCCCCAGCCAGCCCAGCAGGATCCTGCAGCAGCAGCTCCAGTCTGACCGCACTGGGCAGCAGCTCCCCGCTGATCCCTGCCCAGCAGGGCTTGGAGGTGCTGGAGCAGCCCTGCTCTGGGATGTCCAACTTCCCCCGGGGACATCCCAGAGCTCAAAGTGCCTGACCCCTCCTAACTGCCTGTCCCTCTGGGCAGACACAGAGCCTTGCCAAAACCCGAGGATTTTTCACGTGAGAGGGAAAGAAACCCCTCGAGAAACCAACAAAGCTTTAGCTCCTTTCCTCCTCTTTTCCCGACACTTCTGATTTGGAGTTTTTGATTAGAAGTCCCTCTCTCCCCCCTGCCCTGAACTGCCCCTGGGAAACAGCTCCTTGCAAACCTGCTCTCAGCAGAAATATCCTTTTCTAAAGCTAATTCAGAGTGGAAACGTTTTAAGGGGAAATCAGCGTGGCCGGTGATGCGCAGAGGGATGCTTAGGTGGGAAAACCTTCACTCTGCAGCCCAAAGGGGTGGCTCGGGTAGTGCTGGGGGAGAGGAAATAAAACCACATGAAGCGAAGGCCTGAAGGAGGAACAGGAGAGAAAAGAGTTAAAGAAGAGCAGAGAGTCAGGAGCTAACACAAAAATAAGCAAAGCAGGGAAGGGTTACCCAAGGAGAGGCAAGGGCAGGAGGATGGGGAGAACAGCCCAGGGGACTCACCGGCCCCTGGACCAGGATTTCACCGGGATGAGACCCCGGGTAGTGCCACAGCGAGGGGAAGATCCTCTCGGGTGACGGGACGGGCTCAGGTCTGTTCCCAAGCTCCGGGAGGCAGGTGGGTGACGGGACGGGCTCAGTGTCGCCTGTCCCCAGCCTCCCCGGGCCCCAGGTCTGTTCCCAAGCTCCGGGAGGCAGGAGCGGCTCTGGCAGTGCCTGCACATGGGGATTTGCGTCCCTGTCCTCGAGAAACTGAACCAGCGCCAGCAATTAGGAGCAATTAAAGGTAATTTACAGTTCCCCGGCCAGTGCAAACACTTGCAGCCAGCAATTACAGGCTCTTCTCCTTGCCCAGCCACGGAGGGCTGGTGCTCGATGCCGATTTCCCGATCCAGTTCAAATTCCTTTGGGCTGTAACCCCGAACTGAGGGAAGCCTGCGCGGGATGCCAGCGCGGGGGTGATGGCTGCAAACGCCCCTTGGCATCGCCGCCGCCTTTCCGATGGGCACCCTGGCACTCACAGCGGCGTTTGCATTCCTGAACTTGCCTGGCTTTCATCCCTGACCTTCCCTGGCTGCCAGGATTTGTGGATTGTTCATCACCCACCGAGGTGCAGGGATTCAGCAGTGCCCTGCGCTGGGCAGAGCCCTCGGGGCACCGGGGCCGAGGGCAGCTCTGTGAGCAGGGCAGGAAAGGGTCCGGGACATCCCTGAGATGGTCAGGAGAATAACGTGGGGGTTCTCCTCATGCCTTGCTTGGAAGGATCACCCCGCAGAGGGTGCGGTGGGAGAGAAGCAAACGGGGATGATGCTGGAGCGAGAAAGATGCCCACAGAACATCGGGGGAAGGGAAACAACTCTGAGGATTTGGGGTTTTTTTTCCCAAAAATCTTTAGAAAATGTATGCTGAGTGTCTGTGGCAGAGATGACCAGGAATTCCTAGTGAAAAATGAAGTTATTTTTTGGTTGAAAACGTGGCTGTGGAGGAGAAAAGGAGCAGGAGCCTGTGGGGAGGCTTTAACGGGCAATGGGGGCAGCAGGGGCGTGCCTCTGCTCCCAGAAGCTGAATTCCCTATAAAATAACCATAAGGAAAGCAGGGAGCTGAGAGCACTCCCAGGTGAGCACCTCGAGCTCCAGATGTGAGGACACCACGCCGCTCTTTGCGAGACAGACCCCAAGTGGCCGGGAGGATGAGGGGACAGCAGCCAAAATCCGGAGTGCAGAAGGAGCATAATTGCAAGGAGGGAACAGGATGGCTCATCCGCGCTGAAGGGTCCCAATTAACTGCACCCACTCCAGGAAAAGATCTGGGACTCAATGAAACATCTGGCTGATTGCAGCGGAGCTCAGAAGAGCCACAAGATGCGAGGCTGCGCTGTGAAAGGGGGTGAGAGAAACTCTGAATTCATATCAGGGCACTACAGAAATCAATAGCACGTCCTCAGCTGGGAGCTGGAGTGAAAGGCACGGAGAGCACCCACGGAAAAGATTCGGAGTGCCTTGCCAAGAGACGGTGGAGGGCTGCCAAGCAATGCAGAGCGCCGGCAAGGTCAGACAGGTGCTGCTCTTCACTGGTCCTCAAAGCCCGGCAACAAAGGGACATTGAGGGCGCTGAAAAGGCAACCTTCTCCAGGATAAAAGGAAACGCTGCTTTGCACCGCACGTAATTAACTCGTAGAACTCCTGCTACGAGACACCATGGCAAGGGCCCAACAGGATTAGATAGGGCTCTGAATGAGAACATCTGTAGTTACATTAGCTGGGATTAATATATATACGGATATAAGCGCTGCCAGGCAGCTCCTCACCGCCTGCAGCCAGGAGATTTCCCCGGGGCCAGGCTCTGCCCAACTGGAAAATCTGCGTGGGCTCTTACAGCTCTGTCTGCAGCTTCCAGATCAGCCCCTGCTTTCTGTACAAACCTGCCGAGGCAGACATCGCCCATCCCAGCTTCAGCTCCGGTTTGGGGCTCAAAAACACCTGGGAGGGTCTTGGGGCCGTGCTCGGGGTAAAAAACCCCTGTTTTTTCAGGGCAGGTGGTTGAACTTGCTGAGATGGCTCTGCCCCGCTGAAGGTAGACAAATAGCACGACAAAAATGCAAATATTTCCGCACCCCCGGTGTTCGGGCGGAGGTATTCCCAGCCGCTAATCCTGCCCCCCACACGAGTGGGGAAAGGTAAACAGAGGGATAAATCTCCAGGCTCAGCTCTCCGCAAGTGTGACCTTTATGGGGAAGGTGCCTGAAAAGATCTGCATTTTTGGAGAATTAGCATCTTCCTGTTTTCGGGGAAGCTGCTTCCTTGGGAGCTTTGCAGAGTGATGAAAAATCCTTTTGCCTGGACAAGAAAAAAGGCTGGATTTGCCAGGGTGTCCAGATGTCCTCTTGTCACCCTGGATGTGCCAGGATCACAAACCTCACAGGCTCCAGATCCAGCCTCTGCACTGAGCAGGAACCCAGCAATGCAATAAACTGGGGAAAACCCCTTAATTTGCAATAATCAGTGCTGAAGGCTCCCGTATTCAGAAATCACACTCAGTTTGAAGCACAAATTCAATCCCAGGTAGCCAGTGTGCCTTAGGTGCACATTTATAGTTAACCAGGCTTTAAAATGCTTTTCCAGAATCATGGCCAAAAATTGCTTCCCTTTGGTTGCTTCCCTTCTTTCCTCCAAAGACTTCAACGGGAGAAAAAAATGTGGCTACAGAAAACTTCTGCTGGAAAAAATCGCAACAAACCCAGGTTTGTTGTCAAAATGTCAAAACAAATTCAATTTAAATTCTCCTGTTGCCTCAACAACGCATCCTGATGCAGCAAACATGTCTCACTTAACCTTGTGGTTTAGCATTTAGAGGGTGGTTCTGGCATTATTACTTAAGTGAGGTTTTTTGTTGCAGAGTTGTTTTTTCCCTGTTCCACTGTCTTTAGCAGCTCAGGTACTTTAAACCCTGCTCCCTCTGAACACATCTTCCCAGGGAATCAAGGTGTGAGCATTCCTGGAGTGTCCCCGGTCGCTGAAATCCATCCCAGGGGTGACCTTGGAGCGGTCCCAGGGAGGACAGGATGT